ATTTTGTGTACATTTTGTAAATATTTTTAATTTCCTTGTGTGTTAAAATATAAAATATAATATTCCACTTCTCTGTTTAGTTTTAAAAATAAACAACGTGCATATTAACGTATGAACTTGATAAATAATAAGCTAAAATCGAGTTTAATAATTGTTTATTTCTACTGTTTTAGTTAAATTAACGACATATTGAAATGGCGACCTATAGAAATGGTAAAAAATAATTTAAAATATAATACTTAAATTGGATATAATTTAATATCGTCAATTTAACAGTGAGTCGACATTTTATAGCTAGAATGTTTAATAGACTTAACTTTGTTTTGTAGACTTTAAATTTGTATAGTATTTTTAATTTAATATTTTCGAAAGTTATACTGATCTAATTAAATATTCATATATATAAATTTATTCAAATATCTAAATTATTATAAAAAAATATGGTATTTATTAGAAAAGAATTAATCACGTACATCTATTTGATATTTTCTAGAAGAATTTTAATTCGTTTATTTTTCAAAATAGGCAAATTGGTTAAATCGACTAGATTTCCAAGTTCCGTGACCAAATTTCTTTTGCAGTAAATAAATAAATAAATAATTATCTGTTTGCCTTATGCGATAAAAATGTCTACAATATATTTGAACGTTCGAAGAAAACGTTTATATTGATAAACAGGTAGAGAGACATATGCCGAGAAATTTGTACACCTCGTCTGCGTGCGTACGTTATGAACCCCGACGCGCCTCTGTTCGCATAACGAGGGTGCTCGATTCTCGAAATCATTATCGCTCGTCAAAAGCCGATCCGGCGTTACGACCCTAAAGACAGGTAGCCTGCTTGAAACGGTCGCACATATGGCGCACCCACACCCGTGACCAATCGCTAACACGGTCATATCGGCCCTCGTTCACCACGCTGGTCGCCGCTACGCTGCACCGCACGCATCCACCAACACGGCTTTAAACGACGTACCTACACACGCGACGCGAAACCCCCCCCGCTTAAAACGCTCGTTTGCATTCTTCGAATGAATGAAGATATTGGGAGAAAGAGAGAGAGAGAGAGAGATGCAGTGTTTATTAATATTCTAGGACAAATCCTATAAGAATGTACAGGCAAGAAATGTGATAAGAATATAACAAAGAAAAATAATGATATAAAGAAGATAAAATAAAAGGTGAAAAAAAATAAAGACGCAGAAAAAATACAAAAAAATAAGATCGCAAGAGAAAATAAAAATTAAAAGCAAGTGAATAATAATGAAATTACAATAATAATAATAAGAAGAAGAGAAGTACTTAAAACAAATTTATAGAGAGAGAGAGAAATGTGAGAAATAGAGATCCCTGTATATAAGATTCGATAAAAAAACAAGAATAAAATTACCTATTCCATATAAATCAGGTTCACTTCCAAATAAATAGAAGAGATCGCGAGTGATTTGTACAATAATTAATTATCAAAAATATTTGTCATTTAACGCTTTTTTTTTTCTAAATGAATAAATCGTAAAACTTTTCTTCAAATGGAAAAAATATTGACGACTGCATCGATTTGTATAAAAAAAAGGATCGCCTCTCCAGATCGCGCAATGTCATTCGAATCTTCGCCGTCAGCGCGAAGGTACGACGGTGACGCGCGCGTGCTCGTTCAGTCAGAAATGTTTGCCGAGCACAAGGCGCGACGGCAACAGCGACGGCGACGATGACGGCACGTGGGGAGTGCGAAGGCGGCACGCTCGAACACGAGGACTACCGCGATTCGACCTCGATCCCGATCTCGATTTCGATCTCGATCGCGCAACCGACGGTCGTCCATCCGTCCCTTCGGACTGGCCGGCCTCCTGGGCCTCGGTACTCGTCGCCAGCGACGAAAAATTGCACAACAGCAGGTTTCGTTCGTCGCAGCATATCATATAAGAGAGACAGGGGCTGGGGCAACCTAATGCTAATGCGGCTACCATTAGCAAGTAGTGAATCGAATGCAAAGTCGGACGTAAGGTGGGACCACACAGGTCGCGCTTGCTTGCTCGCTCACTCGCTCGCGGAGGGTTATACGGGGCCAGCAGATGCAGTGCCCCATAAACAGCGGGGCGAGACCACCCAACGCGCTTGTTCCTTCGTTTCGTTCCTTCGTCTGTTTCCTTAATAACCACGATAGCCTGCCTGTTACCGTGCGGGAAGGTGTGCAGGCGCTCCTCTCTTTCTCTCTCTCTCCCTCTCTCTTTCTCTCTCTCTCTCTCTCTCTCCCCTCTCCCCCCCTCTCTCTTTCTCTCTCTTTCCCGTGTACGTACACGCGTATAGTGGATCAAATCGCAAGAGTGGCTCGTTCGCTTCTCTCGATCCAAATCGTTTTCGAGCTTTCGTAGGATGACGTCGCTCGACCGGACAGGGGGATCGGTGTGTAATTTCCGGTAATTGTCGAGTCGCTCGCTCCCCGATCGATCCGGTCCCCCTTGAAGACGTCGTTTGGTACGTCGTTCAGGAAAGCTTGATAAATTGTGCGGCGATTGTCCGTCTCGCCTCTCTCGAATCCTGAAGATCTCTCTTATAATCGCACGTCGATCTTTTTTCCATGGACGACTCACGACTCGGAATCGAGAGTCGTCGCTCTATCTCCTGTTCGTTTCCTTTACTTCGCACGATTGCTCGTAACTTCGATATTTTCCTTTTTTCCCAGTTTGTTACGAGATCACTCTCTTCTCCTTTTTCCTTTCTTCTTTCTTTTTTTGTTTCTTTTTTTTTTATTTTTTTATTATAGACCCTAAGCTTCTGAGAATCACGCGAAGGGCTGTTCTAGCGTGATGGCCACCCGCGTTAAGTATCGAGCTGTGAGATATATTTTTGGTAATCCGAAACTTACAAAAAAAGATCACCCCGGAGATTTTTCGGTCGCCCTTCGTCGCGTTTCTGTTGGTAGCACGAGGAAGTCTTTCCGAACGATTAAGCATTACTGTTATTTATTATTATGTACATTATGGTTAGCATTGTCGCTCTGTTTTATACTCGACACTCATTTGTCTTACTTTTCTTACACATAATTACAACAATAACTATAGGGTGACTTCAACCAAACCATGATTAACTTAATTAAAACGCCATATTTGTAATTAAGTAATATGAATAAAATTAATAAGTTAATTTAGAACTATATTTAAAGTATTTAAAAAAAATTAAGAACAATGAACAAATATATTACAAATTTTGTCTTAAGCGACCGATCGAGTTAATCACTGATTAACTTGAAGTTAGTTTTGATCAAGTTGTTTTGGAATTTGTTTTTCCCATAGTCAACAATTTCAAGAAAAATTATTAAAATAAAGTTAACAGGATACAATATTTGTATCACAATCGTGAGAACACTATTATACGCAACTGATTAACAAATTTAAAGATAAAGAAAAAAATATAGACGAGAAATATAATTAAAATATATGAAAATAAATCATTTTTATTCGCTAGAAAATGAAATTATTTAATTTCAAGATAAAGTTATTCCTTGACTGAAATGCAATCACAAAGCGGAATCTACCGACTGATACGAGTACTCATCGTACAACTGTAATCGATAAAGAAGAGAAATCGCTAAACAAAACGTCTCGAGATTAATTATATATTTACACTCGGAATATTTTAAATAATAGAAAAAAATATTAATATTGGATACAATTAACTGTGTTTATTCCAATATCACTGTAAAATATTATTATCGATAAAGAAGAGAAGTTCTTAAACAAAAGATACCTTCAAGATTTTTTATATATATGTACATTTGCATATTTCAAATATTATAAAAAATATTAAATATTAGTATTGGATACAATTGTGTTTATTTCGATATTATAATATGTTACAGAATATACAATAGTAGCAAACATTTTTTTAACAAGATTTATAAACGAGCGGATGCTGGAGGAAGCAAATAACTATTAAAATAATAAAATATATTTATATAAATATGTATATTTTCTTAATGTAACGATAGAGATAATTAATCAAATTTTATAATTGTAAAATGTATATAATGTTAAAGAAAATATTTCAAGAAAAACAAAACAGAATAAGTTAAAATTATCGATCAGATTGTTGCAGAAATAGAAATTCATAATGTTTTCTTTTTCTTTCCTTTTTTTTCAATGTATTATTGTAGATATTTTTATATTATGGAGTTAGATGCAATCGTTCCTTTATTATGCGAAGATAATTGTATCCAAATTACTTTATTTATTTTATGTGCAGAATTATATACGATTGTTTGCAAATTATTCATATTTCCGTCTCTCTCTCTCTCTCTCTCTCTCTCTCTCTCTCTCTCTCTCTTTCTGTGCATTGTATATTATTTCTCTTTCTGTGCAAATTATTGTAATTCTAATTGCAAAATTCTAATTGCAATACTCTAACACCACGATATTTTTAATTAAATCATTTTTATGGACAGAATAAATCCTTGTCTTTGTATTTTAATATTGAAATAAAAATACATTCTGGTAAATATTTTTACATATATATTACTGATCAAACAATTTTTATTGCACATATTGTTTACTGATTTACGACATGAGCAAAAAGACTCGTAAAACAGTTCGTTGCTAATTCAAGAATATTAACTCATTATGTTAAATGAAATATTATTCTTTAAAAGTCAGTACGTCTAGTAAATCACGTTTAATAAATATTGGATTGCAAACACGTATTCTTTTAAGATTCATAGGATTAAATCAAATTTATAGCAAAAGAAAATAAATTGCGCGTTTGTAGTGCGAAAATGCAACATGAAACTCAAGCGTTTATATCTTGTTATTTTTTTTTAATATCCTGCCTTAATATATACATGGAAACTTCCATGCTCCGAAAGATGATAGAATGCAATAGGGTTTTCCATTACGCAATCGTTACGTAAAGTGAAACCAGCGCATATGACAAGGATTACAAGGCAAGCAATCAAGTCCGGAGGATAGAGCCAAGGTCGAATTAGAGTTGGTCATTATGATCCTTACAGCGTAGAGAATGATCTTAATCGAGTCTGCCTCCATCCCCGGATTTGTTCTCCAGATAACGCCGTCGGTATGCTCCAGTAGGATCATATTTGTCCTCCAATAATTTCCAGTCGTCCGGTTTGTTGTCGATTAGATGATGAGAGAGCTTGTCGGCCATATTCTTTTGTGCCTCACTACAACCGGCGCAATCGTGCTCCAATGCATCCGGTAAATTCTCTAAAGGGGTTACAATGAGATTCTCTATTATATATAGAGGTTATAATGAGATCATAATTATTGTGATCTTAGAGCAGAGTTTTTCAATCAGTTACCGCGAAATACTGATGTGCCGCAAAAGATCTCTTACGGGAAGTGCGTCGCAAAAATTTTAAGAAAGAGAAAAGGAGGAGAAAAGATTTAGAAATAAACAAGAAGCGAAGTAAAAAATATTTTTTAAATTGTGAAAATTATTTTTTTTATTCTCGTTTTAATCCAAACGATATCGTCGTTGCAATAAAAAAAATCGCTTTTAATGTAATATTATAAAATGGAAATTAAAACTTTTACTGTTTATTTTTAAATGTCGTGTTTGCGGTATCTGATAAAAAACCCATGCTTGAAGTATTTAATGAGATTCAATAAATTTGGTTTATTATTTAATGTGTTGCAAATTAAAAAAGATTTAAAAAATTTGCCTTAGAGCATACATACACTTGATACTTTGAAGCATTCTTTTATTCTGTTAATAAAATTTTTGCTTTTGATTTGTTAATTAAATGCTTTGAAATAGTATTAAGTGAATTGCACTGATTCTCTAAGATTATGACACTTTATCTTCGTTTGCAACAAGAATGTAATAACAAAATCAGAATATATTATACAAATGTGTCTTGAGAGAAATAAATTTTTCAAATATCAAAGCATATAAAATTTCCAAAAAAATTGTTTTTAATTTTTACGCATCCTCTTATAAATTTAAATTTTTTAAAAATTCTAATTTTAAAAAATTTATATTTATAAGAAAAGGTGCGTGTAAAATTAAAAAAAAAATTTTTTGCTTTTACTGAGAATGTTCCAAGTCTCGGAATATGAGTTCCTCTTAAAGGATTACAGGAACATGGAGAACGGACGTTCGCCATCCTACGCATACTTACTTTTGAGTTCCGATGCGTCTGGAGTGCAAGGATTCTTATCAAGCAGGCAACCCACGTATCCGTTTAATAGTCTGTCATTGCTTAATATCGCGTCCACGTCTACATTGTCGAATTTCGTGGTGTACATCTCTTCGGCAAAAACGGAAGAGGATGAAAGGACACACACGGTGATAAAGACGACGACTAGATATCTCATCGTACCGGATAAGATCGATGCGTTGCTCCTGATTCACTGCTCATGAAGCTCATTATTTCGTATGTTTTATAAGGGGCTTGGACACGGTTCGTTAGTTGCACAAAATCGTCCTCCTGTGTCCTTGCCATAATTTATCGAGAAAAATACGCGCAATGAAGCCACTTCCTGCGTCGATGCAATTGATATTTCTCTTTAAATCCAGCTCTCTCTAAATTTTGTATTATCAAATTATTAAATATTACTAAAATTATTTTAACATTATATATTTTTTAGATTATTATATAAATTATTATTATTTTATTATAAAAGACTAATACTAGATATTTTATATTTATATTATTAGGTGTTGGAATTAATTCGTAGCGTTTTTTAATGAAAGAATGTTATTTATTTCACATGAGCATTAAAAAATACATTAATGAAAGTACTTCCCATCACTTGTAAAACGCTACGAATTAATTCCAACACCTAATATTATATTATTGTTGCAGATAATTAAGAAGTTTTTCCATAAAAATCTCTATAAAATTTAAAGAAATTTAATGTTCTCAAGAAATATCTTTTTTATATCCAAAAATAAATAATTTAAAAATTATTAAAACGTTTTTCTGTTAGAAAAGAAGAAGAGAAACAGACAACACAAATAAAATAATTTTATTAGATACATTTTTTTGTATATTTGATAAAAATATATAAACAGTGTAAAAGAAAGAAAGAAATTAATTCTATGTGGTATCGCAATCATTATATTTGTGTCAAATACAAAAATATATAAACGGATAAAATGCATAGCGCGAAATTTACGTGTCATATACGTGAAAAGAATTCTCGTGTGCCGATTCCTTTTTTTGTATTCCATAGATAGTATAAATAATGTATTACGTGTGCGTGACCTCGACTTTTAGATTCGCATAAGGGACGATTGTATCATTGATGACTCTTGTTATCCATTCTTTGCAAAATTTTTTTAATTCGTAAATTTAAATTCTTCGCTTGAGGCATTTCAGCCTTGCATAACTTGCTAGTAATGCAATATCGTCCTCTGTCGCGGAGAAAATTGATTCTTGGAAGTGTAATTGCTACTGTCATCTTGGTAGTGTACTTTTGAAAAGCATTTATAATAACCACGGTGTCACACGAATAAAACAGTTTACAATTAATTTAGCAAACTTATGACATTTTCTCCATGTTTTTAAGATTTTTTTCTCATTGAATATTTTTTTGTTGAACTTTACTTTTAAACATCAATTTATTTTAAGCCTTAATTTTGTGTTTCAAATATTTTAATAATATTATACATATAAATATTTTAGTAAAAATTTTGAATGGATTTAAAATATTTGTATCTTTGTCTATAGATTTTACAGATCGTATATAAATACTAAACAAGGTTTATGCGATGCTTCCTCACTAGCAACGTGTGCTAATTAGCTAAAAGATCAATCTTTTAGTGTTCTAAAAAAATTACTTATGCTCAAGGAACGCATCAAGAGAAAGTCAAAATGACTTTATTTTGACGTAATGGAATTTTGACAAAATGATGATTGATTTTTTTATTAAAAAACAAACAAATTTAACTGTTTACTGATGTTTAATTAAGAATCAAAATAAAGCCTTTTTTACTTTTTGTTGATTTTTGTGTGTTTCTTTTAACAAAAAATTTAATTTCATAAATTATACTTTTATAATTGTTAATTTTCTAAAAAAATTGATAATTTATAAAATTCTTTATAAATGCTAAATTTCTATATAGTTGCTAATAAAAAAGCTTATGTAAGTGCTTTTAGTTCCAACTACAAACCCTCTTAGAAAATTCGCTCCCAGGAAAAAATCGATTTCATTCGACCAATACACATTCGTCTGATTTCAGAGATCAACTCAAAAGTTTCGCGTTTCATAATCCGCGACAAAGTGGCTTATCAGTGTGGACTTTTAATATTTCGTAAAAAGAGGAAACGATGCCCGGCTTAGAGCGGATTAATCTCTGCGGTCGTCTGATCGAGGGAACGCGGAGGAATTTCCTGAAATATTATCTGAAAAAATGTCCAACCCTGTTTCACATCTGCTACGATCCGATTGGCACCCATCGGAAAGCGAGGGCCTTTATCGGATTTCTCTTCGGATTTGTCGCAGCTGTCGTGTTATATGAAGGCATAATCGTCGATCTACAATTTGACACATATACCAGTATCTTTCTAGGAGCCATCCTTGTCGTGATGCTATCGATAGGATGCGCATCATCGATACAGGTAATCTCTTTTCTTACTTCACTCAATTTAACTTATTACCTTTTATACCTTCTTATATTATCTTACTTTTATACGTTATTTTATTAACGTACTCGATTAAGTCATCAACATTGATATCTCTCTGTGAAAGATACTCAAGAAATATACAAAAGTCAACAGGAAAATAAAATAATTTTTTTTTATTGTTAACGTCGATAAAATATCAAATTTTATAATTAAAAAAATCATCATTTTGACATTCATAACGGCAAAATAAAGTCATTTTAACTTTCTCTTACTAACTTGGTATGTTTCTTAGGTACTAGGTTCTTTCCAGCAATGTACACAGGTGATACTATGTACGATTCTACTATGTGCTTTTCAATCGTGACAAGTCAGCAAACTCGTACAAATTTAAAATGCTGTGTTGTCGTTTTATAATTTATATCATTTCACGAATATCAAATTTTTACATGTATTTCATTACGATTTATAATATTTTTTTCTAGAATTTACACCATGCATTTCATTTATTTTTCTAGTGAAACTCTCGCAGTAAGAGGATTTCAAGGTTGAAGACATTTAGATGTATAAGACTTTTTTTTATTTCATTCTAAAGGTGAAATAAAAAAGCTAAGCAACGTTTCAGATACAATGTTTCGACACTGATTATGTCACACAATGACTGTGTTCCGTTGCTAAAAAGCAACCCACTCTTTTCTCCAGGAATTTAAATTATATTACTATTGATATTCTTGATAAAACCGGATCGAAATTACACATTTGCCTTGCTAAATATTTCACAAATTGAAACTTGTCTACTGTATTTTACTGTATTATAATGTGCTTTAATGCATATTTATGTCATGCATGTTACCTTGTCTGCACAATCCGATTCTTATATAGGATTGCAAATATTTGTCGAGTAAATGTGCAATTCGAAGCAATTTCCAATGATAATAAGAAAATGTAGTTATGATAATTGTATATGTTATTTATATATGAGAATTTTGAAACGGAGACATTTTTATTTAGTTAGCTGCGTTACAAAAATTTGTGACATTTAAAGAAAATATAGTTTTAAAATATGTATTCTTATATCATGATAGAGAGAAATATATAAAATATTTAACAAATATAAATTGTTTTTACATAGAAAGAATAATTTTTCTAAAGTATCTAAAAATTTATTTATTTATTATAATTAAATTTATTTAAATTAGCTTTAAATCCAACAAATAATTTTTACTGGATCATCAAAGTATCTATTATAATAGTTATCGCTCAAATTGATTGCTGAAATGTCAAAACTTTTTGTAACATTACTCATCTTAAATATTTTGTAACATTACTCAGCTTGAATGTCTTATAAATTTTCCTATATTATTTTTTGATGGTCTAACAAGATTATTTTCAGATCAATACTTACTACCTAAATTTTTAAATACTTCAGCAAAATTGTATCATCAGTTAAAGAATATTTGGCATCGAAATCGTCGTTCTGTCAATTTGAATAGGTGAGATGCATCTGTCTGTTAACTATACCGACTTTTCTTGGCCGATCTGGACGCAATGTTTTGAGGGCTATCATTCTGGGATATATAATAGCGGGACCTATATTCAATTTAACTTATAACGCTAAAGAAGTGATGAGAACTTTCGCTTGCACGCTGCAGTTGACATACAATCTCACCGAGACACGTTTCGATCTCATGTTTAAGCCGTTTCAACAGGTATATCTACTAATTGAAATAATAATGCAATAAGCAAATTTTGAAGAAGATTAATCGTTTGTGCGATGAAACTTCGCGCGAAAAAGTCAACCGATATAACCAAAGTATCTAATAATACGTAGGCAGTGCTCGCCATGAAAACGGACGCGAACGAGCTAAAGGATACTTTATCCTCGGTGAGAGATTTGATGAGCCCGATAGTCGAGGAAATCGAGGGCGAAGAGGAGATGAGGAGACTGAAAGAGGAGAACGACTATTTGGATGAGCTTCAGGACGATACGAGAAGAAGCGATGAGATCGAGGAGAAACATGAGAAAGAGATCGCGAAAGCGAAGTCCGAGGCGAATGTTTATGAGGCGAAGTACAAGAGGAAGATTGAGGCGCGCTGCGAAGAGCAGCTTAGCCATGGTGCTGAACGATGCAGGTAAGATATTTAACACTGACTTTATCTAAATAATGTCGGAGAATTTCGTAGTCGGCAAATAATTTTTAGATACATTTCTCGTAAATAGATTTCTAGGAATTCATTCTCATGCAAATCCGGCGAACGATATAACAGTACCAATATGATGATATGATTCTTTGTAAGAAGATAACTAAATAATATAGAATATTCTTTCATTAATTTTCGAGAAAAATAATCTTGAATATAAAAATTAATTCTATTTGAAAATAGAATTAATTTTTATACTCATTGGATTGAAATGAATTAGGAATTTTCAATCCATCCGAATCCATATTTTAAGTCCATAAAAATAGATTGGATTCCATATAAAAAATTTGTATACATGTAAAAGTTGAAATAAGTTAAAGTAGTAATACATACATAAAATTCTATAATTATTATTTTAAAACTTTTATACAAAAAATTATGCTAGCTAGTATAATAAAGGAAACGTATTAATAGACAATATACATAAAAGCGATTAATTTATTAATTAAAAATAAGGAATTTACATATGTAACATTTATTGCACATATTTACGTAGTTCTTTTTATATCTCTTTTAAGTATTAAATGAAATAGATTTCATAGTATAGTTTTACGGTATATTTTTTTTAATTCAGTTGAATTAAAATGAAAAATTGCTTATTCATAATTCTGAATAAAATAGCATTCATGATGCTTTTTTAAATGAAACAATGGATTTTCTACTCACAATTTTGAATTGAATAATATTTATGGCCCATTTTAAGAAAATAAACTTTAAAATTAAAAGATAAACTTTTGTTATTTAATTGGATTAAAAAACTGCATTTCCTATTCAAAATTTTGAATTTAGCAGTATTCACGATGCACACACAAAATACTATAATATTATTTTTAGATTGATAAGCATAGAAATATACTCCATGCCATTCCTATAAATGAATAAAAATGCATTCAAGATTGAGAAGAAATAAACATTTGTTTTATGTAATTCCTATAAATGTGAATAAAAATTCATTCACGATTGAAAAGGATTCATTTTAACATTCATGAATCCGTATTTCTGAAAATTTGAATCCATTTGAATCCATTTCAATCTATTCTCGTTTGCTGGGTAATTTTCATTAAAATTTAACTGATTTTCAGAGATATGTTTGTTAACGCTTACGACAAGTGTCACGATACAGTGTCGGTTTTTGCGGCCTGGCTGCTGTGTTGGCCGATGAAACTCAACTTCGTATGCAATCTGGTGCAAGCCCTCGGTGGTTCCAACATCTGCGATCCCGAAGGAAAAATAGACCCCGGTATTGGCGAAGGCTACGTTGCTTTAAAAAGTGAATATCATTCGCATCGATAAAAATTTAGAAATGAACTCATTCAATTCCTCCGCGACGTTTTCGCGAGATATTGTCTCCTCTTCATGAAAAGGAGCCAGAGACACCTTTAGCAAAAGTCTCAAGGACGCGAAACTGCAGTATAAAGTAAAGAAAATGCCGGTGATTCTCGACCTTCACGACGCAACAGATGCTGCAAAGGCTGTAATGCACGAATTCAACGCACGCAGAAAAGTTTTTGAGTCAGTGATGATAATTATTAAAAGGTAATAGCAGAAATGCAAATGATTTTAAGGACTCAGATATAATTGTTTTCTTAGAATAAAAATAGAAGAAAATTATGTGGAAAAATTTTACACAGTTTAACTTTTTGTTTTTTCTTTTAATGGAATTACATGTTGATTCTTTAAAATGGAATATACTTTTAAACATTTTAAATTTTTTCGGTAATGATTTTTGTTTGTTTACAGAAAGAACATTTTTGCTTAAGTAAATAAAAATTTAGTTAGATGTAAATCTGAAAATAATAATAATTGAATAATAAGTAAGTTGGGCAATTCAGGAATCATGCGCATGAATAAATTTTAATTCAAAGTTATAATCCAAAGAATATATTTCAACAGTCAATAACGTATCTTTTGATTAAATTCAAGCCTTCTTCAGAGAATATATTTTCATGAATTGTGTTTCATAATTAATGTGTGCGTGGATTCTATTGGCCAATCTCTCATACATTTTTCCATGGCCAGTTGGTGACCTGGATGATCTTAAGAAATTAAGACTTTGAATATAATATTATTTAAAAATAATTTTGTTGAACCATCAAAATAGTTCGGAGTAATATAATTATTTATAATGCTCAAACTTTCAAATTAATAGAATATTCAAGCTATATGAATATTCAAGTTGCACAAATGTCAAACTTTGCAGCGTCGATCATTATTCTTTTTTTACATAATTACGTAAAAATTATAATAGTTGTTTTTACATAATTAATATTTTTTATATTATTTTGATGATCCAACAAAGTATTTCTATATCTAACTAAATTTTTCAAGATTTCAGTAAAACTGTTCTTTCCATATATATATATATATATATAAAATTTGCTCGAACGACTTAAAGATTCGTCATTAAAACATACAAAATATATTTTATATAATTATTCAGATGTCTGTCCTTCATTTTCTTGAGAATCATCTTAAATGCTCAGACGTATCACGAGAAATACTTGAACGACATCGAACATGACAATGTATATGTTACTTCGTACTTCCGGAAAATCGATGCAAGACGGAAGGCTCGAGGTAGTCTGACCCTGCTGCCCCTAAAGAAAATTGAGAGATTGAAATTCGTGGATCCATACGGCTTGCGGCCGGGCCAAGTCGAGCGGGTGCATCTGACAGGGCATACGGTGAAGTTGATCCTCGAGATTATCAGCGTAACGACATTTATACTGATAGACCGACTCTTCTTTGAAGCACTCGATTTAATCAGGAGACACTCCTACATGGAATATACTCAGGTTTGAGATTTGGAAAGCGATCGATCAACAATTCTTGTTACTTCTAGTTAGATTTGAGTTTAATCTCAAGATTCGAAACATCTCTGCATATGTTCCAAGTTCAAGTTTTTATAAAAAAAAAAAAAAAGAGGAAATCTACGATGAACACGTAATCAGGAAAGTTTTAAGTAATAATAATAAATAATTAGCATATGAAAATTAGCATATGGCTAGATTTATTGCGGTTTTCCTTAAGGCGTTATATAACTTAATTATTTATTCTTTCCGATCTGTTTACAACTATAACTAGAATTTTTTCTAGGCGGGTCACCACGACTTGACCTTGGAGGTTCGCGGTATAGGAATGATAGCCTCTCTGATACGTAGCGTCATTCACGGATTCAACGTGAAGAGGCGAGTAAAGACTGTGGTGTCCAACAGCGCGTGTTTACCAAAAGCCAATAAAATACCGAATTACATGATCCTCAAGATCTATTCGCTCTATCTGGCTATTTGGATGTTGTTGTTCACCGCCGCTTACACGCAACGGCTGCGACGCGTAATCTGCTCGTTCTTCTACAGGAAACGCGAGAAAAGGCGTGTATTGTATCTCTACAACGAGAGCCTGAGACGCAGACTTGGTCACGCTAGGTAGAGAAGGAATTAAATATCTCACGGTTAAGTTCACAGATTCTGCAAGTATCTGCTTTGAGTTCTCTATGACTATTTCGAGAAACAGAAAAGACAATTTTGCTAAAGTATGTAAAAATTTAGATAGATGCATCTGAAAATAATTTTGTTCGGCCGTTAAAATAATTATGTAAAGTTTAAGCATAACGAACAATGGTACAAAAAAGTAAAATGCTCTAGCATCATCAGTTTGATTATCAGTATACGATTATTACATAAATATTTTGATCTGTATAATCTAGCTACTTTAAAGTACCTCAACCATTCTTTTCCGTGCATGTATATTATCTCTATGAGAAATCTCTATGAATAAGAGATTCAGTTCTTTTTCTACATTGAATCATGTATACAAGTTCGAACACTACTTATTTTGATGAGGAAAATAATGAATTTTATACGAATTTTATGAATAGTCAATAGTGCTCGAACTATATAGTCATGAAACAAAACTCGGAATCGACAAATGCTCAATTCTTCGCATATCGATCTTTATCTCATTTTCGATATCAAGATTCATGAGAGCCAGGGTCAAGACTTTAGTCAGAACTCATCGGCTAGAATACGACATAGATCCGTGGATCGCCCTGAGGACGCGTTGGCCAGCACTCTGCGGTTGGTTGGTGATCTTCGCCTGGACACGTCACAAGTGCCTCATCTGCGGCGAAGTGGAACCGAGGAAAGGTCCGCAATTCTATAGATGCACGACACCCGGATGTCCCTTCGTTCATTGTCCCGAGTGCTGGGACGATGTCGGTAGAATTTGCTATGCCTGCGCGGATATTGGCGAGACGGATGACGACACGGACGAGTTTGACATTCTTGAAATAAAATAAAAGGGGAATCGATATATGCGAATTTTTCGTTCGACACAACCTGTTATGGCCATTAATATTATGTATGTCAGATTTATATAACGCATTTTTTAATTTACAAAAGAAGTTACATAACGGAAATAACTAATTCATGTTTAGAATTTTACTATTATTTACAATTATTTCTAAAAATTGAAATCTTAACTAGTTCGATTTCCTGTACTCTGTATAGGTAATGTTTTTTTTATAAAATGTACATAACAATATATAATATAAACCTGATTTATTTGATAATATTAGGTGTTGGAATTAATTCGTAGCGTTTTACAAGTGATGGGAAGTACTTTCATTAATGTATTTTTTAATGCTCATGTGAAATAAATAACATTCTTTCATTAAAAAACGCTACGAATTAATTCCAACACCTAATATCAATTTTCAATAATATATAATAAAAATGTATTATCAAAAGTTAGTATTATTGAAAATTTTATCTCTCTATGATAGTGTATTACATGTAATATATTTAATTATATTATATTTACATCTATCAATTTATATATTTTGATTATTAAATAAAATCAGAAAATACCAATACAATTAATATAATTAAAATAAAAATCATATACCAGTTATATATACTGATGCGACAGAAAAGTTTGATATTCAGAGATTGATTCTAATATCCTAATATTTTTATAATCCTCAAATTCGGAAAATAAAGTTTATATTCTTATTATTCTTTATCACAACATTACCTTAAACTTTGATTAAAAGTAATAAATTAGTGTTTATTGATTAAACTATTAGGTGTTGGAATTAATTCGTAGCGTTTTTTAATGAAAGAATGTTATTTATTTCACATGAGCATTAAAAAATACATTAATGAAAGTACTTCCCATCACTTGTAAAACGCTACGAATTAATTCCAACACCTAATAATATTTATTACGCTCAGCGCTAATTGGAAAAAACCTCTTGCCATATCACAGGCGAAAATCTTCAGCTCAGTATATAATAGCTATCCTATATCGCGTTGAAATCTTTTCTATGTATAGAGAAACGCATTCTATGTATCATCGAGCAATGAAGATAAACATGAGAATAAATACACATGGAATATATTATGACGCATATATCGCGAACGATGTTTTATTTACACACACACGTATACATTTTAATTGTGTCAAATCCTAACTAGAAGGACAATGACAATTAGTACTGCATTATAATAATTTTATATTGTATATTAATTTTTTCCCTTATCCATTCCTGATTAAATCTTGATGTTTTCGTTCTTGGCCGCTTCCTCATATTTCTTCGAGAATTTCTCTTCCGGATCGTATTTCACCTTCAATAGATCCCACCAATCTTTCTTATTTCTCACTAGATGATTTATCACCTTCTCTGTTATCTCTTTCTGTTTGTTCGTACATTTTGCACAGTCATTTTCTAGCGCCTCGTCTATGTTTTCTGCAATTACATGATTATTATTTATTTAATGATGCTAAATACAATCGGATACTAATTATCTCGATAACGTCAGAATCGACCTTGATCTAATGAACATCTAATGAAAATTTTTCTTAGAATTCTTCATATAATTTTTCAAAATTTTTATGTAAATTTTAAATCTTTTCAAAATTTAAGATCTCTTCTGCAATTTCTAACAATTTTACAATTTTTAGAAAATTTTCAGATTTTTTAAATATAAATTTGAATATTTTTTAGAAATATTGAAAAAATTTACACATCTTTTCTAAAATTTTAGAATTCTTCATATGTCAAATATTTTATATATAAGACTTTTAAGATTTCTCATTCCATAATTTCCGAAAAAAAAACATTTATAAAATCTGAGGAAATCTAAGGTATTTTTTCAGAAATTTTTTGTAAATTTATATATATATAAAATATGGCAAATTCTTAAAAATATAATACATTATATGAGAATTTGTTTACACTTAGAGAGAAAAAATATCTTTAATCATATGTTAATATCTTTAATAGTTAATCGTATCGCGTTCTGTCAACTGTCAAAGATGTTAACGTATAATAAGAGGCGTAACTTTGTAATAAATTGAATGTTTATTAATTGAATATTAAGGAATTCTATAATTTAAGCAAGCAATAAATACTTGCTGAGAAAAAACTTCCTCTCGGTTAAAAATAACTCCATAATAAAATTCTTTCGATATAATATTTTAATATACTACATCGGAAATTCTTACAAAATTCTAGAATATTTTCGTCTCTATGGATCGTAAATTTTACCTGTTAAATAAATCTGGCAATCCGTGCATATGATTGAATAATTTTTCTATCCAATAATTAAAATTTACTAAACGATGAAACAACTGGTCCATAGAGACGAAAATATCCTAGAACTTTGTAGCTTCTGATCTAATATATGCAAAAGAATTTACGAAATATGGAATTATTTTTAACCGAGAGAAAGTTTTTCCTCAGCAAGTATTTATTCTAGAGATATTGTTTTAAAACTATTACTGAGAATGATCTATTTTGCAGTATATTTATACTTTTCAGGCATTATTTCGATAAAAATAAATAATGATGAGATCACTTATAATTATCCAGATAGCACAGAGAATTCAAAAAGAATTAAAAAAGAATTTAGTTGTAAATTCGGGATTTCTTTTTTTTGAAAGTTTTGAAATGAATTTGCATTTAAAAATGAATTCAGAATTGATAATATATGATTGAATTATTTTTAAACTCTTTGTGCTATTTAATAATTATAATCTTTACACGTACACAGACTGAGACAAACAAATTCAATTCAACTCGTTCAAAGTTTTTTTTTATCCAGGCTGCATTTATAATTACGAATATAGAAATCGTGTGCAATACTCACTCCTCAATTCAATAGCTTCGGGAGGGCATCTAATGTCGGGCTTGTCTAGCATACAATCGACATATCGCTTCAACAATCGCTCATTCCGAATAATCTGATCTATATCTATGTTGTCAAATTTATCAGTGTATGTTGTTTCCTCCGCGTAAACAACAGAAATAATGGCCAACAGGCAAAACACTGCGAGTTTCATGGCTGCAATATAATATACATACATCTAATTAAATGCAAGCAAAGTTCGAGTTTGGGAAACTGTGCAAGTTGTGTCGCGAGTAATTTTGAAAAATACATAATAATATAAGCGAATCTATCATGACTATTAACATACACTTTCCATACTTGTAATCGTAAGACGTACCGTAAGAATTAACCAATCAGAGCTGAAAACGTTTGATAGTTCTTGATTGCCATTGGCTAATTCTTCTGGTATGTCTTATGCATGATCTACAATGGGCAGTAACAGTAGTTGATTAAGGAGTAGACGTAGAAATCGATCAATCATAATTGATTATTTTTCTCACATTCAACTATGATTGGTCGATTTCTACGCCTACTCCTTAATCCACTATTGCTACTGCCCATTGTAGACCATGCATTACAGTTGCTGTTATAAAAAATGTGTGAGGTCTTCCTGGTTACATGAATTTTATATCACGGTATTTATAAAAAATTAAAATCTGCGCGGAAGAAGATCAATAAATATTTGTTCTTCCAACAACGGAACATAGTTATATATTGTATGACACAATAATATAGTGTACAGTAATGTCGACTTGTAGCTGAAACTTTTTTATGTATTACTTCTATATGTGTTACTGGAAAGCATCTAATAATGCAGTCCAGCCGGAATGATAGATGATCAATGCCGAATGAATACTGATTCATCGATCAATCAATCATTTCTAGCTGGACGAGATTCGATTCAGCGCTTCTTAATCAAGTATGACAATGATATCGATTTGCAAAACGTGATCTAGTGAAAATTTTTCTCAGAATTTTTATTACAAATTTTTATACAAATTGAGACACGTTTCAAAAATACTGAAAACATCTATATCTCTTCTTAGAATTTTCCATACATATAAATTCTAAAATATTTTAAGATTTTCTATTCTATAACTTCTAAAATTTTGCATTCTATAATTTCGGAAAAAAATATAAACTTTTTCAACAAATTTTATAAAATTTCATCAAAAATTAAAAAAATGACAAATTTTGAAGATCTTAAAATATTTTAGAATTCGCATATATGAAATTTACACAAAAAATTCTGCAAATTATGAAAAATTTCCATCAAGGACAATGAAAAATATCGGATGAGACATGAATGCGGAGATATTTGCATATTGATCAGATGATTAAATAACGCGCAGTGAAGAATAAGCTTAGAGACATAAATCTTTTCAAATATAGCCTCTTAGGAAAACGTCACAATAATTAAATTAACTTCCACAACAGTATTAATAATCGCGATGCAATTATATTTTAGATCTTTTTTTATTCTTTTTCAATCGGAATACACTGATTCACATTCAACCGTAAAAAAAACTGAACCATATTCGGATCGAAAAGCGCGATAGTTAATTTACTGTGTAATCACATTTGTTTTTCAAAGCGATGTCCCAACGAAGAAATCGCACCGATTGACATGGAATAAATGCTCACCTAACACGTGTTATTCGCAGTCTGATGTATATGATTGTACGGACATCACTCGTGTGACTTGACTTTATATACGCATGAAGAGACGAACGGCAATGGTGGGAATGGTACCGATTTATTCTGTGAATTCTTCTTAATCGTTAGCTAGAGAGCACCTTCACCTTCGCACCTATCAGTGGGAAACACGTCATCGGCTTTAATGACGCATTATCGTTTTTCTTTCTCGCTGACGAAGGATTTAAAAATGCAAGGGTGATTTCCAAGTGTTATTACCACAATAATAACTTCTTAAAAAGAAGAATGCTTATATAATTTATAATCTATTTAAATTACACACGCATTAAAAATACTAACTGGATAGTTTTCCTTTTTAAATAACATATTTCCAGAAATCATAAAATTTTCTGTGATTGATACAGGGCGGAGCGGAAAATTCTTTTTAAAAATTTTAGATTTATTACATGATTTATCATCAACTTTTAGTCTTCGAGTTACTTAAAAGACTTGTCTTGTGATTGGAAAATTATGTTTGACTTTGCTCATATTCATTTTTGCTTAAAAAATTCCATCGTGGAAGCAATGTTGTCTCGACGACTGAAGATTAGTATTAATATGAATGAATTATTATGTAATAAAACTGGATTATTGAATCGATATTACTTCAAGGTTTTTCGCAATAACTATTTAATAATTATATAATAATTTATTTCTAATTTCTAATCATAATATTAATTTTTCAAGACTTGTTATATTTGTGAACAGTTCAGGCGATGTTACTTCCAAAAAAATTTTCTCATTATTTATCTCTTTTTTTTTCAAAGTCACGGCTTGATCGTTTATTTTAGCTTTTCATCACGTTATTAACAAAAATATCTAAAAATAGCTCTTTCTTTCTCTCATATAAAGTCACTTGAATTAAAATATTGTAGAAACAATAATAACATAATACACGCAGCCGAGTTGCAAGAAAAATATAACTGAAGGATATCGGGTAATCAATAAAACAAAAAAAAAATCACAAAAAAACGTCTTATATTTTTAATATTTAATAGCTTTGATTAACTATGATTCAACGATCCTACGATGTTTGGAGGCAAATAAGATTATTAAAGTAATCATTATAATAATTACCGAGTGCATAGTTCACACGAAGTTTTATCTCGGTATTATATTTATATATATTGTTACATCAATTAAATTACTTTCTGGGAGATCAGCGGGGAAAAAGGTATTGAGTTATAGAAATCATTGCACAAATCTTTTTTAATTGAAAATATCGCATAATTTATTTCGCACAATTGTTCGACGAATATCCATGTCGGAGTACATCATAATAAATAAGTTGTAAAGAGTTAATTTTTTGTTGTTCAATTGAGAAAATAGTGCGTACAGTGTAACACGCGTGTCAAATATTATACAGACAATTTATTGTGACCGAAGCTGTACTTCTTATATCATTCTTTATCCGACTACAGTTGTTTCATAAGGATTTTTTTTATTTCGATGTTGATACGTTATAGCTAAAATATTTTAATTAATTAACTTTATACATAACGCGAAGACGAGATCTTTAATGATCGCGTTCAACAGAAGTAAACATTTGGAAAATACTGCGTCGAATTATTACTTTAATTATACTTACTGAACTCTAAGAATTCTGTTTTAGTGAAAGAAACTTTCAATAATTGCAAAATAAACACTCTGCTAAATGCGACCATTAATTTCGATTACCCATACGCACAACGCTTACAAGAAGCAGTCTCAAATATAATTAGCTGTGCACCATCAAATATAGTCGGATAAATGGAAGAGGTATCTGTTTAATATCTATACAAAATATGAGCGAATCGTTCGTATTTCAGCGTCGCCCTTTCATACAAATGTTTCTCTTTGCATACATACGCACGCACGCGCATACAGAGAAAGTCAAGATATAGAATTTTTCTATCTACTTAAACCTGAGTATAGGTCTCATCTCATTTACTCGTGTTGTTATATACAGATAGGCTCTCTTTTATATCTACATAATTAGGACCTATATACACTTCACCATATATCCCTCTATTTAGACTTACATGTACAATTTTCATAAGCGTGAAAATTTCGGGGACAAGTGATTTAAATGATATTTAATAATATATTATCATACAACTAAATTTCTGCTTTATTGTATTTTAAAGATAAATAACATAAAAACATACATATTCCGAAAAATTTGCGTTATTTCATGTTTCATGAAATAAAAATCGCAATTGTACCTAATCGATGAAAGGTCATTCACGAATCTCTTTGATTACTTTGAAATTATTTCAAAAAAGATTCAACGAAATTCATCTGAACAAAATTCCAAACTTTTATTTATATGTATGATAATATTTTGTCCGATAAATTATTATTAGTCTCAAATGGAAGAGAACGTCAAAGTATAGCAAAAATAGTGATGATTCCCCTTGATGATTTCTGCATACTTTACATATATCCCTTTGAAAGAAACGTTTCAATGAATGTTTCTTACTGAGACAGCTTTCGTAATATCACAAAATTTGCCTACTGGCAATTAACAGATCATTTTCATCAATTTTTACTTTTGCAGTAAAAATGGAAAATAATTAATCCTCCTACAAGTATCTTCTAAAGGTCTTTTCCGTTCCCGAAAATCTTATTTAAAATTTTGTCGTAACAAATTTTGTCATAATAAAGACGACACTTTATATGTCGTAAAATTGTAATTCTTTGTGCTTTAAAGCATATTAGCATTAAGAAAGTATTCCCTTGTCGTATATACAAATACTATACAAATAAGACAAATTATTCAATACTATACATCTTATTTTAGTTGAATACATGAATATTTGCACCATTTTTCGTCAATAAGGAATTTTTTAACCCAAATATGAAAAAATCTTTTTCTTTCTCTCTCTCACAATTATTAAATGGGATTATATAGCATCGCATACATAATTATGTCATTATTTGCACATGATTTACATATGCATAATGTATATGTAATATTTTAATTGAGAATTGGTGTAATTAAATCGATTTATCGAGGTCTAGCACTTTAAATTTCTGGTAAAATAAACAATTTCTCCTATACGTTACATCATTAGCCTTCATATAGGTATACATACATTGATTTTAATAGCAATATAGCTATCTAATAAACAATAATAACAATCATAATAAAATAGCCAATTCCAATACTTTTCTAGAATAAATTATATTGGTCTAAAAAGTTTCGACATATTTTTCATGTGCTGCTTTGTGTACTACAATTTTATAATTTAAAAACAATGATTGCGTTCAGCAGCAAAAGTAGCTTTGTAACTGTTGTTTTCTTCAAGTGCCATCCACTGTCAGCGTATAGGCACCTCCCTCTCGTATATCTTTGCGTGCGTACTGATCGTACACAAGGTATATGGAGACCTACAGTTTGAACGCAGATTCCTATTTTTAATAGGAATCACAATTTTTAATAGGAAGATTTCCTGGGCAAGAATATACTATTCGGTGGTTTGCCATTGTCTTCCGAGAGGAAGTACGAGCGTACAAAAATTGTCGGTTCTGTCAAGGATCAAAATCCGGGATTTCTAGTGTAGCAGATCAGTGCGCTATCAACTACACTACGCTCGTGCTCTGATGTAAAATTTTTCAATATATAGTTATTTTATATATTTAGATCCATAAGGAATCAAAAGCAAGAATCAATCACATTGAAGAATTTTATAACAGTTGCAAAGCTGCTTTCTCTGCTGAACATAGCCATTGTGAATAATCTTGATATTTCCTTATTGCCGAATATGATAACAATTAAAATAGAAAGAAAAGTGCTCAACAGACATGTCTACATATGGACATAACATAATGGAAGAATTAATTGAGCAATACGTTTAATGGCTCTACGTAGGCAGTGTTAAGAGATTCGTTTAAATTCAATTGGAAATAAATAAAATATTTTAAGGGTCGATTCTCATTTGTGAATCATCAAACATTTGTTAATGTTTGTTGTAATTAAATAAATTGTTTATTATTCTCGATATTTGTAGCCATGCTATAATAAAAATCAGTCTAAAAGAAAAAAAATAAAGAAGCAATTGAACACTTGCTAAGATTTTATAAAATCGACCCTGAACTCTTTGGCCACGTTCAAGAGAGAAAACTGATAAATAAACGCTCAGTGATTCTTTAATTGATTCGCCTTTAGTTCTTTGCTGTAATGAATCTAAGTGTAGGAATCAATCATATTAAAGAATTATTGAGTGTTGATTGATCAGTTTTCTCTGAACGCAGCCATTGCCAGATTTATTACAGACGCCAAACACATAAATTGCGCCTGATTGTGAATCTATCTGATCCTACGTTGAACTATAGATCACGTTATATTATAGCAATATCCCTATGTAAAAGAAGGATCAGTAACAACATAACTATTATGCACGTATGCGTTCTTTTCTTCCGTTTCTTGTCTTTATCCATCTGCTTTACATTTAACTCTGAATCAGACTTAAAAATTTTAATTATATCTAAGACTTAGCTTATAAAATTAGAAATGACTTAGAGTGGCAAAAAAATCGTAAATTTTTACATGTTTGATCAATTGGCTGTAATCCAACCGTTAGTTACTAAATAATGAAGAATTTTGCTTTCTGGTTCTGATTGAGGTACAATACTCAATCTCCTATTACCGGTTAAATATTCCTGTGACATTAAAAATATATATTAGCAAAATTATAATTACAATAAAAAAAATTATAATTGATTCATCACTTACTTGTAATAACAATGTCTTTTGCGTCAAATACTGAGTCGGCTTTAGATCAAGTTGAATACATAAGGATTTTTCTTGCTTTGTTAAAAGATGAGATGCAGCCTCCAATTCTATATCTCGCTCTTGAATAGTGGAACCAATGTTGTAACTTTTTTCGTGTAAAGAACTGGGGCTGGAAGTCGACTGATTGGAAGTGTTTGGATTGCTATCCGACTCCGCCCACTGATTGGCTGGAGTCGTCGTCCGATTGTGATTGGCTTGACTGACTGTGGAGTTGACTAAATCTTGTTTTACAGTGTATTTTCGGTCTATGGAAGCGTAATTTTTTTCTTCTTCTCTGTAAAAAGAAATAGAAAATACGCACAATTCCTTTAGCTATACAGATCAGTATTCTAAAATTTTTTAAATACAATAGCAGTCTAAGATATTATAACAATACTATTGCTGCTAACTTATGCAATTTGAACAGGAATATAACAATAACATTATCAGAAACAATAAAGCAGACAAAATTTTCATTAAATAAACATAAACATAAAATAAATAATATGCGTGATGATATGAAAATAATGACAATATTTATAAATTCTACAATGCAAAATATAACAATTTAATTCTACAAATATGACTTCTTACCTTCTTTTTGAGGTGCTGCGGTGTATTGGCGTGGACTGCCCACTGCTGCCCTAAGTGAAATGCAAACTGATACAATCTGTTCACAAATTCCTGGCAACACGCACCACAAATAGTAGAATTAGTTAAAAAGAAGCAAAAGCTAGTGTATACAATATAAGTTAAGGGTCTAAATTCTTTCTTTTTTTTAATTTTTATTGTACATATAAATATATAAAGACAGTTAAAATTAAATATAGAAACAATTAAATTACTTTAAATAATTTGTATATACATACACACACACACACACACACACACACACACACATATATATATATATATCATAATTTCATTACGATAGTATAAGGTCATGGAATATGTATAAAATTAATATAAAGAAAGATAAGAAATAATAAGAGATAATATCTAGTTACACATGTAAATATCATAGCCACATTTATATGCATACATAGAACATACAGATAAAAAAAAAGATTAAGGACCCTATTCTGTAACTCTTCTGTAACTCGATAATGTAGATGTCGTTATATTGTCGTTGCGCAGTTTTTTTACAATATGTAAAACTCGCGCAACGACAATATTATTATAATCGTTAAGAGTTACAGAAGGACCTTAATATCTATGTATATAAATTAATACAGCGATATAATTAACAAATTAAATATATATAATGTGCACGAAAATATAAACATATTATAATTAAAACAAAGCACAATGACATTGCTGCTGTTTAATATCATTTTTTAGATAGAGATTTCATGTGTATATTTGTTTTATAGTTTACCATCATACATTCATATGTACAGAGCTTTAGCATGCGTCAGCACTTAGTAAAAACTACGCTAATATATTCACACTTTTAATAGATTGTAAGTACTAGCTTTTACGTATATTTTAGCTTTTACATTTATAAAAGTATAACAAAATGTAAAATAACTTCTATTCTACATCCATATAATGTTATAACAAGACGGAAATATTATGAAAATAAAAATGTATACTTACAGATTTTTTTTCAGTCCAATGATCCACTGTATCGTTTTGTCTCTGAGTTTGTGCAAGAATTTGCTCGAAATGAGCGCATTCCTCATGTTTGGTAATGCCGTTCTCACGATATCGATAAAGCTCCGAGAGCCGTAAGCGCAATTCTCTTTCCTTATCGAGATTTGCT